ACTTACCCATGCTGGGTGTGGTTCCTCCCTCCAGTAAACCAGAACATAATTCAATCCGACCAGCACCTGTGATAAGCACATTTTAACAATCTGACAAAACAAGCTGTTTATCTAAATATGAAAAGAGCCTGAGAATTTAACTAAAAGAAATCAGAGAAAAATACTTTAAATCTCAGCTGTACTCTACAACCCTCACTGTGTTACTGACAGTCAAATTAAGAGTTAATTCAAGTTAAGCAAGTTCTCTTAAAATTTGTATTAAAGAGTTCTCATGTACAGGTAATAAAGGCAGTATTAGACAGAAAAATGTTAACTCTCAGCCAATTAGAAATCAACTTCAACTTTTCAAAACATTCCTCATTACTCAGAGCTTTAAAAAGCAAAACAGTTACTTTGGAGTAGCTATCAAGGTCATTTTGAGATGAAGGGAATGTTGATAGAGAAAGAACTATCAGAACACTGGGGTCGTGTTAAAAGGTCTCAGCAACAAGGCTCTCACACACCAAAGACAGGACATTTTAATCATCAATAAACAAAATAACTATGATAGATTAAAACATATATGTCTAAATCTAGTTTTATAATGGTGAAACAACTCATTGGAAGACAGCAAACAAATGTTTGTATTCTGAAAATCAGTGTCCAGCAAATTTGAAAACATATAAATACTTGCTCCCTACCAAAGAAACATTAGCTGACCCATGATTGACCGTCAGTTAAAAACTACAGGTGAAGAACTCTGAGTGAATCTGTGAGGGAGTTTCCAGAGAAGTTTCACTGAGGAGGAAAGATCCACATTGTATGTGGATAGCACTTCTTCATGGGCTAGAATTCCAAACCAAAACCAGAAAAGAGAGGAAGCCAACTGCGCACCAGCCTCCACTTCTGTCTGCCTCCTGACTACAGATACAATGTAACCAGCTGTCTCAGACTCTGCTGCCACGCCTTCAGTGCCAAGATGGGTTGTATCACTTCAAACTGTGAGCCAAACTAAACTCTTTATGTTTGTCTGGTAATTAGTCACAGCAACAAGAAAAGCAACTAATACAAAACTGAAGGATGAACAGATGGGATGGTAGGATTTCTACTGCTGTGATGAAGCATCATGACCAAAAGCAACTCAGGAAAGACAAACTTCTAAATCCATCACTAAGAGTGGCCAGGGCAGGCACTAGAGAAGTCATGGTAGACTGTTTACTGGCTTGATGAACCTGTTTTCTTACAGCATCCAGAACCATCAGGCCAGGGGTGGGACTGCCCAGTGGCCCTCTTATATTGATCATCAATCAAGAAAATGCAACACAGGCTTGCCCATAGGCCAATCTGATGAGGATATTTTATTCTGAGGTTCCTTCTTCCCAAATGATACAACTAGCCAGCACATGGGGGTTTATATGTTATAATTAATTGACTTATGTTTGAAAATGTTTCTTAATTAAAAATAAATGGTGGAGGTACAGCTTAGTAGTATGCTTGACCAACATACACAGGATCCTGGGTTTTACCCCTAGTACTGCCAAAAAAATAAGTTAAAATTATTTTTCTGATCTTTAGATGGAAATGTTTATGCTTCTCACAAAAATAAACTCAGAATACAAAAACAACACCCTTGGTAAAAAGATAGTAAGTCTAAACCATTGTTAATTTCCATTCTTAATCAAGGCTGGGGATTGAATGTGGGGCACCAAACATGCTACAAGTGCTTTGCCACTGAGCTACATGCTTAGACCTCCAAAGATATCTTTCAAAATTTTAAATTTGTATCAAGTTCAATAAAATAATCATGTTAATGAGTTAGCAGGATTATAGACACTTGAAGTGTGACCTGCTTGGGGAAAGGGGAGATTAGACAGTTATTTTCCAATCAATTTTTGGTTTTGCTTTACTTTTTGAAGCAAGGTCTCTCTATTTAGCTCAAGCTGGCTTCAAACTTTCAACTCTCCTGCCTCAAGCTCCCCCACGCTGGGACTGTGAGCACTTGCTACCACACCAAGCTCTTTCTGAAAGGACTGTTACTATGCAGGAAATGACAAGGCTTGTTTTTTTCTTTTTAATGGAGTCTCAATAGCTCAAATGGACTTCATGGTGCCCCTTTTGCTGTAGCCTCCCACGTGACCAGCTTAGTAAGGGCTTTTGAGCTCAGTTCAAAGGATTCATTTTCAGACTCTCTAGTTTCCCTTACCTCCTCTTTCTGCATTCACAGCGGACTCCACCGAATCTACACACACTTCCATAAGAAATCCATTTCCTGCTCCTAAAATATGAACAGAAATTCTTGAAGGAACCAGCAATTCATAAAATCTTCCATAAATACTTCATAATTTGGCTGCCCGAATTCACATGTGCAATAGAAGAATAAATAGATGCACTAAGGCTCATAGTGTGGTAAAATAGCATTCGTTACAACTGGCATCTCTAGACTGTGAAACAGATATACAGACATACACAAAAGAAACCAAATGGAAAGCATCTTTGGTACATAGTAAACGTGAAACTAATCTTCCTAACGCACAGACCTCATCACTGTGTTCCAGCTCAGACTCTCAGAATGTTTTTCGATGCTAGCAGTTATAAAGGATATTTAAAAATAATAATTGAATTTCAAATCCTGGTACAACCATTTTATTTGCTGTGTGACCCTAGACAAGTTACTTAAGTTTTCTATAAAACAAGAGTAGGTTTCAATTCCTACATCAGGGTAGTGAACATTGAGATAACTTACATAAAGAGTATCATACTAAGCATTCAAAAATATTCAATATTATTAATAAGCTACATGATTTCCTCTTTATGACTCATTTTCTTCAATCTCCATCTTCGTCAATGATTATACTATCTCAGTTGAAAAAAATCCTTCTAGTATCATCTTCAAATGTTAAACTTTTTCAAGGATCAGACCAAGTCACATTTCCATGTTTTTTCTCCCAAAGCAGAAAAGAAGTTCTACTTCTTTTGAACCCCAATAACTTGAGTTATATATTTCTCACTAAACCCCTAGTTTCACTTCTTATTTATGAGATAAATATCTGGTCGTTATGGTTGACATGAAGTTCCTTAATAAGGCCATTATAAGAATTCCTTCTATTCACCTCTCAGAAAGCAGAGGACCTACTGTGCTAACAAATCAAATATACACTGAAAGTTGAATTACATGCCGGGCAGTGGTGGCGCACGCCTTTAATCCCAGCACTTGGGAGGCAGAGGCAGGCGGATTTCTGAGTTCGAGGCCAGCCTGGTCTACAGAGTAAGTTCCAGGACAGCCAGAACTACACAGAGAAGCCCTGTCTCGAAAAACAAAACAAAAAAACAGAAAACAAAACCTTTTATTACAAATTTGTATGTTGATACTAGGAAGTGTGGTGTTGGCAGCTTTGGGGTTTTCCTGCAAGTTAAATGTATAACTCATTTTTAATTAACAGTTTTAAACGTTGGAGCCTGGAAAATGGCTCAGTGGGTAAACCCATTTATTGTGCAAGTCTGACAACCTGAGTTCACCCCCTGAATGTATTTAAAGTCGGAAGGAGAGAACTAACACCACAAAGTTGTCCTCTGACCTCCACTATGGCACATGTACCCACCCTCCTTCAATAACAGCCAACAAAATTTAAAAGTGTTTAATTCATACTTCAGGTACTGAGCTCTGTAAGAACAGTCGCCATATTCTAATAGTGGTTACTAGTAGGCAATGAATTTGGAATTATTTTTGCTTTTCTATATTGCTTGATTTTTTTCTGATACTGCTTTTATGATGAAAGATGAGAGAAGCAAACAAAAAATCTGTCACCTCCTAATACCAAGTTGCAATAGTCATTTATTTAATAAAAGACTATCAGTTCCATAGATCAGGACTCAAATATTAACCGATGGTTTTAAATAACAATATACTAACTCTACAAATCTGGTAACAGTCCCACTAGCAGGCCTGGTGATGCTGAAGGATTTTCAGTAGCTTCACACAGAGTATGCGAATGTCTACAAATGGCTGCAACAGGCACCAGAGCAAAAAGTTTTTGTAGGGACATTTGAAGCAGTAGTGCTCAAAGTAAGATATGGCTCTGGGGACTCCGAGTCTGCGTTTGTATTTGTCTTTTCTCTTTTAGCCTCTTGGGAGTGGAATGTAGCTTCAGGACACTATTAAACACGCAGACGTTGGTATGAGAATCCAACCATCTTCCATTAAGCGAGATATTAAAGAGATTTGCAAAATACACAGCATTGCCACTTTCGCTGTTTTGTTTGCGGATATTTATCCTTCATAAGTTATTTGTGTTGACATATAATAGGCATATTATGGCTATTTTCTAATTTATCAATCAACACTTTTTTTTTTTTTTTTTTTTTTAAGGAAGACAAGTCCTGGTTTGGAGGACCAAGAGTTCACCGAAGAAGGAAGAGAAGAAAACTGTCGGATTGCCATGAGAGCCAGCCAGTCCTGGACAACTCCCGCAGGAAGCAACCAGTCATCTGTAACCCAATGGCTGTGGAAACCCACTCGCCACCCTCCGGTCGCAGCTACAGATTGTAGAGCTGTCGCCACACGTTTATTATCTACCACGGAGCCAGGGAGGCGGATGGGTATGGTGCCCTCTTGTGGCCCAAGAGGCTGCGGGGGCCCTCGAGGAGCTGAGGGAATGCGTGACTGCCCAGGACCCCGGAGCAGTGAGGAAACTCGACCGCGGGCAAGCCTGACAGGCCGGGAGCACCCTGGAGTCCACCACCCCTGCCCAGCCACCTTCCGCACCCGCCTTCCCCGACGATATCCACGCCTGTTTCCGCTCGCAAGAAGCCCCTTTCTTCATGCTTCCCGCGTTCCTCCCTCGCTCGCCTTCGGTTTCCACTGAGTCCCCGCGGCTGCGCGAGCCACCGAGGAGGCGCGTCCCCGACGGCCGCGTCCCGCAGCCTCCGTAGAGTCGTATGCGCACGCGCAGTGGTCAGCCTCCCGCGAGGGGACGCTCGGGATGCCTGACCCGGAAGTGTTTGTCCTTTAGGTAGAGGAGAAGCGGACCGCAGATCGCTGGGTCGTTCCGGCAGAGGCGCTGTACTGTCAGTATGCAACGGTTGCTCCTTCCGCCCCTGAAGGCCTTGATGGGGAGCCGCAATGCCGGGCTCCTGGTCTCTAGGGTGGCGTCCAGAACACAGGTACCCACTCAAGCTGGCTCCGATCACGGAAGCCGGGCTGGGATTAAAAAAAGCCAGGATAAAGTAAAGGGACCGCCCTGCAAGTCCTGATCTCTTTCACTTTTCCTTGTGTCCAGACACCTCCCTGAATGCGGATCCGGAAGTATTGCCCAGTGTTGTGTATTACTGGCCAATTTATTTAACTTTTAAGTTTTAATTTCCTTTTCTGTAGAATAGGAGAACTACTTATTACACAAGGTGTTTGGAAGGATTAAATTTTTAAATATACATCAAACCCTTAGCCCATGATAAAAGCTCAGTAATTTTTTTTTCACATTTGGTTTTTGCTAAAAGCCGCCAAGCAGTCAGGAACTCCTGTGCAACCCCACTCTACAGAGAAGGGAATTGAGATTCACTTTAAGTTGCTTGTCTAAGAAACCCAGTTAATTAGAAGTAGGAAACTGAACATACATATTTTTACACCTAGTGTTAGAATCAAGAGGACATGTATTCTCTTATCTGATAATCATTAGTAAAAGGTGAAAGATTATTATGATGTGAAGAGAAACCAGAGAATTCTAGATTATCGTTATGTTATGATACTGAAAAAATGCCCACATGGTGCCTGCCCTGAAGGAGTTAGTTCATTCAATTGTTAGTTCACGTAATAAATATGTATTAGGTCCTGCTATGTAAGAGACCAGTACTACAAACCAAGCGAGCAAGAGGAAGACTGACTAGAACCTGTCATGCAGAGCTCCCAGCTTAGTGGGACATAGGGACAGATCACCTGATACATGACAGTGTGTTAAGGGTTTCGGTAGGGGAGGTACTTTGTGCTGTGATAGTGACCTGTTCTAAGACCCAGGAAAGTTTGGAGAGTAACAATGCCAGCCCAGACCTCCAGTGCGTGTTATGTCAGGCATTGACAGAAGTGTGTGGGAGGGGATAGCACACTTAGAGACTAGGAACCCAGTAGGAAAGGATTTCAGTGGTCCAGATGAGAGGCAGTGATTAACCAGAGTGGTAGCTATGAAATGCATGCAGCCTTACCGGGTACTTTACTCCAGTTAAATTGAGACTAAGTGTTGGTAGCAGATTCTTTGGTTATAATTTTCTGTCTTGCTCCATAGTGTGGTGGCAGCTATGGCAGCAGGCGTCCTCTGAGGCCAGGGCAGTACAGCACCATCACTGAAGTGGCTTTGCAATCTGGAAAAGGGACAGTGGCCCTTCCTTCGAGGGCAGCCGAGCGGGCAGTGGGCCGATGGCTCCTGGTGTGCAGCGGAACAGTGGCTGGAGCAGTTATTCTTGGAGGAGTGACGAGGTGAGTCATTTACTCTTGCTGAATCAGCTTATCAGTAGGAAGAGGAAGCCTTGGACATTGTCTGCTTTAGCTCGCTCCAGTTACAGATGGGAAAACTGATAGCTTGCTCCGTCTTAGAATAGGTTGGCATTTTATCAGTAGGTGTTTCATTATCAGGACCAGTTCCAGTCTTAACTAGTAGCTAGGCATTGTTTCTATATATTTTTACCTTTACAGTATTCAGATTTATTTTAACTTTTCCCCCTGCAGTTTGTTTGCTTAAACACATAAGATCATACATACATCACAAGCACTTCATATGTCTCTTACATTGTCTTTATGTCTTTAAACAGAGACTTTATGGATTTAGGCTTTCCCTTCCCCCAACATCCTTTGTTTTTATGCATTTATTATAATTTTGTTACTATTGAGCAAAGTCAAGTCATTTGTCTCAAAGTAACCATGGACTGACTATCTGGTGATGGTTAACATATCCTTTGTCCTGTAAATGAGTAGTTGCTTATTAGGTTCAGATTGGGAATGAGGGGACAAGATACTCCCTAAGCGATGGAGCATCCATTCTGGGATCTGTTGGGGACTTCAGCTGTCTTGATTATTATTGCCTGAATCCATTATTTCATGAGAGTTCCAAATGGTAGTATTTTTATTGTCATTACCCCAGGAGACAGTCTTTATAGGAAAGGCAGAATACTCGATTCATTGTCTTCATTTACTAATTTCCAAAATAATGAATCTGTTCCCAAGACCCTACAAAGGTTACAAGTAAAAGATTTGGGTTTTAAAGTTCATATATTTAAATACATTAGGTAGATCCAGTCGACTGTGGTGGTTGTGTTGATAGTTTGCTTAAAATCTCCCAGCTTAGCTGGTGGGAATCCCTTGAAATTGGTTCCAGCACCTTTTGACAAGGCCCTTTGATAGCATCTTTGCTTTCTGGTATGATAAGGTTTTCCGGGCTTATCTTGTATGTTTCTTATGCCGGCCTTTAGTTTAAGAAACCTGATTCCTTTTGGTGAAGATAGTTTGTGTGTGCATGTGCATATGTGTCTGCACACATGTAGAGGTCAGAGGATGACGTCATTCCTGGGTGCCTCTCTCATTTATTATTTATTTGAGAGATAGGGCCTACTATTGACCTTGAACTTGTTGAATAGACCATTGAGTTCCAAGGATCTGTTTGTCTCTACCTGACTAGCCTGGGATTAGAAGTGTGTGCTATTGTGTCTGTCTTTTCTTTTTTTTAAACATAGGTTCTGCGGCTTGTGTCCAGGCAAGCCCTTTACTGGTTGAGCTGTGACTCCAGCCCCTGCTTTCTAATTTTAATGAAGTGTGTGTGTGTGTTTATCTTCATGTTCATTACACCCTTGTTTCATAGGCTGTTATGGGAAATTGCAACAAATTTAAATAATATTATCTTGAACGTATATTTCTGTAATAAGTCTCTTTTCCTGGTGTAGGGAAGGTTAGTTTTAGCTGGTATTATATAGAGCTCAACGGTTGAATGAATGCTGTTTATACATTTAATACATATTCATTTAATCTAACCATTGTTTTTGCCTATAAAGAGATGCTAGCGAGAGACTTAAGTGGGATCCAGTGATGGTGGCACAGGCCTGCGATCTCAGCACCAGGGAAGAAAGAGGCAGGCCTACCTCAGAGACTCTGTTTCGGAAAGAAAAAAAAAAAGTCAACAAACAATAGTTGGAAGGGGGCGGTTGAATAACAGAGTTGAGAGAATCAAATCAAAGTGTAAGGAATTAAGGGCTGGGGTTGTAGGGCCTGGTTTGTGGAAGAACCTGGATTCCACATCCAGCAACACAAACAGGGAAGGAAGAGGAAGGACTTCATACCCATGGGGTAAGTTCAGATCTACTTGTTACTGTCGACTAGTTATGAATAACCTGGAAACATAACACTCAAGAATTTATTTCTTATCCGAAGGTTGACGGAGTCTGGCCTCTCAATGGTAGACTGGCATTTAATAAAGGAGATGAAGCCACCCACAAGCCAGGAAGAATGGGAAGCAGAGTTCCAAAAGTACCAGCAATTTCCAGAGTTTAAAATGTAAGTGTTAGGGAAAAAACTGTTAAATATATTTGTTTATGTGTGATCAAGGTACATAAGTGCCTGTGTGTAGCAGCTCGGAGATATGGTTTCTGACTGAACCTGGAGCCAGGCTCACAGCTAGCAAGTCTCAGTGACCTTCTTGTCCCTCCTCTACAGCACTAGAGTGACAGGTACACACAGCCAGGTCCAGTGTTTTAGATAGGTGCTGGGGATTTGAACTCAAGTCTTCACACTTTTGCACTGAGCCCCCTCACACACTGACCCATCTCCAAAGCCCCTCAAGTAACTATAACTATCCACCTTAGTTAAGGTTACTATCGCTGTGATGAAACACCATGAACAAAGGCGACAGGAGAGGAAACGGTTCACTCCACTCACAGTTCCACATAACAGTTCATCAGAAGCAGGGAGGGCAGGAGCTCATGCAGAGTAGAACCTGGCGGCAGGAGCTCATGCAGAGGCCATGGAGGGTGCTTACTGCTCTAAAGGTGGGAGACCTGGGAGAGTGGAGCCTAAAAGCAAGGCAGTCTAAAGTCTCCTGCAATAGCCGACTTTATCCACAGCATCAGGGAGTTTATACGCTGAGGGGTCAGAGGAATCACATGAGTAAGGTGTTCAATCACAAGAGCAAGCCACATGTGGCAAAACAAGTTTCTCCATAGAGGAGTATGTATAACAAGAAGGAACCCACTCCTATCCACTATGCCTGGGAGGAGCATGAAAACACATACCAGAAAAATCCTGTGTTTTGAAGAAGCTGAGGTCACAAGACTCTTGTCTTGTTTTCTTGGATTTTTTCCAGAAGTACTCAGATTTCTTACAGGACTCCATTTTTGGACTGTGTCCCATCACAGGGGCATTGTTTACTGGCTTGCTTCCTGTGGCTTGTTCAGCCTGCCCTCTTTCAGAACCCAGGACCATCACCCCAGGGATGCCCCTACCTCAACGGGCTAGGCCCTCCTATGTCAATTGCTAATTTAAAAAATGTTGTACAGGCTTGCCTACAACCCTCTGGAGGCATTTTCTCATTGGGATGTGCTCCTCTTAGGTGACTCTAGCCTGTGTCAAGTTGACTTAAAACTAGCCAGCACATGTCCTAGTCAAGTTTTTGTTTCTTTAAATCCTTTACAGTGATTAGATTTATTTCTTGATTTTTGGCTCACTGAAGTATAGTGAGCTGCCTGCTCTAAGCCTTTTAAGGCCCAAGTCATGTTACAGTTCCTAGAAGAACAAGAAGGCGGAGCTAACAAGCTGCAAGATTGAGAATGTTTCTGCATTCTATAGGGAACTGAAAATCAGATGGAGGAGGTGAGGAGATGGCTTAGCAGTAAAGTGCTTGCTGCATAACCATGATGACCTAAATTCAACCTCAGAACCGATGTAACAAGCCAAATGCCATGGTGGATATGTATTTCCCAGCACTATTGGGAGGTGGAGGCAGGGGAATCAGCCAGAAATTCAGGGCCAGCCCAGCCTGATGTGTATAGTGCAGTGGTGGGTGTAAGGAAGACCCTAGTCAGACACCAGGTAGGAGGTGAGAACTGATTCCCCAAGGTTGTCTCTGACCTGCACACACGCTGCAGCACTTATGTGTCCATGCACACAAAGTAAGTACAGAATCCAACAGTTCCCTCTTTCTTCCTTTCTGACTCCCATCTCACCTAGCCTGAATCATGACATGACGCTGGCGGAATTCAAGTTTATCTGGTACATGGAATACTCACACCGGATGTGGGGTCGCGCTGTAGGCCTTGCGTACATCCTGCCTGCTGCCTACTTTTGGAGAAAGGGTTGGCTCAACCATGGCATGAAAGGACGTGTCCTTGCCCTCTGTGGCTTAGTCTGTTTCCAGGTAAGATTTATTCAAGATTGGGAAACCAGAGATACTCCAATGAGTCGGCACTGTTTAAGGAAGTCATCCTTGACGGGCTACAGTAGAGTAGGTAAGAGTGAGCACTTTAGAGCCAGAGGCTTGGCCTTAGGCCATCTGACTTCTGTCATACATGATTGCCCTACTGTACGTAGATGGAGAAGTTAGGCCCGCTTCTTCTTCCCGGCCCCATGCTCCCAGAAATAAGACTCAGACTCAAAATATATTTACAAATACCTTGGCCATATAGTTAGGCTTTTCTCTTATTAGATCATAACTTAAATTATCCCATTTATTTTAATCTACATTCTGCCCTGTGGCTGGTGACCTGTGCTCGGGTACCATGGGTCTGTCTAGTGACCTCTTCCCTGAGTTCTTTCTGCCTCCCAGATGTCCCACCTTCTAGTCTCCCCTTCCCTATAGGCCATAGGTGTTTTAATTGACAGGTGATGCATCCGTACAATGTACAAGATATTCTCTCTACAGGTGGAGATAGTAATAGTGCCACTTGGGAATATAGATGTTAAGTGAGGTAATATCTATCAAGCTCTTTAGTTGGATGTCTAAAATGAGAAAGTTGTCGATAAGAGCATTGTCCGTGGTCCTCTTCCTGTATTCTCTTTCGTTTTCTAACTTGTCTACTGACTACGAAAGAGTGATCCCTACTGGAGAGTGGCTATGGAAAGCCACTCTTCTCCACCCCTTTCCACCCTTTCCACCTGAGCACTAGATAGGAAAGAAGAGAGGACAGACAGGAAGGGGCCACATGATCATTAGACTACTTCCTGCTGAGGAGGAGCATCAAGTTCCTTGAGGCAACTTTGATCTTGGCCTTCAGGATATCTAGTTTCTTCTTGTTGTTTCTTCTTTGCATATGACTATGTAACAAACCTTGACCAACAGCAACCAACAGCCACCCTGCCTCTCACACCCTCTGAAAAGTCCCCACAACTCCAAATGTCACACAATCACAAACTGTCTGCTGCTGGCAAAACCACACCCCTGCTAGAGCAGGACGCAAATCCTAGTCAGCTGCTGTGGACAATCTGAAGCAACCCCGTATCCCACACCTACCATTAAAACAAAAGCATAATATTTCTGTGTGTGTTTTTTTGTTTTGTTTTTTGTTTTTTGGTTTTTTGGTTTTTGTTTTTGTTTTTTGTTTTTTTTGTTTTTGGTTTTTCGAGACAGGGTTTCTCTTTATAGCCCGGGCTGTCCTGGAACTCACTCTGTAGACCAGGCTGGCCTCGAACTCAGAAATCCGCCTGCCTCTGCCTCCCAAGTGTTGGGATTAAAGGCGTGCACCACCACCGCCTGGCTTCTGTGTTTTTTAAAGAAATCAAAATTCCAAAATTGTCACTGTAGAAAACTCCAGAAGAACAGTTTACGGGATGAAGGCTGGGTACAGATGTAACTGATGTTCAAGTATACATGGTATTTAAAAGCATGTAAGCTGGACTTTTGTTAAGGAAAAGAGCTTTGCAAGATTCCCACAGGCAAAGCTAAGAGCCAAGAAAAGGAACTAGAGAAGACACCTGCAAGTATTTGTGTCAAAATGTAAAGGTCCTGATGGTGTCACAGCATCAAAGAGACATCAGCATCTGACCTGGAGGAGATGTGGCGGCTAATTTAACTCAAGTCACATTAGGGAGATGAGCTAGCTAAAACGAGATTAACAAGTTGGAGAGATTCATGGTTAAGCACTAACTGTTCTTGCAGAGGACCAAGGTTCAACTCCAGGCGCCCACAATGTAGCTCTCAACTGTCTATAACTACTCTTCTAAGGGACCCGATGCCCTCACGCAGACATACATGCAGGCAAAACACCAAAGTACAGAAAATATAAATAAATTATTTTTAAAAAGAAATTAATGAGGCAATAGAAACTGCAGAAAAGAATTAGACATTAATAAAAGTTATAGTAACTTTTATTATATTTTAGTGACTAAGCAAAATTAGAATAAAATGTAAGTTTCATTTTATAGTTAAATGCTAAAAATGAAGGTAGAAATTAGAATAAAGCTGTCATGGTTGTGTTAGGTTAGAGAATTTGCACGGTATATGGCTTTATTTTCCCGTGGCCCTGCAAATGAGAGGTAGTTATGATAGCTAGCCAGGCTAATCTTGAAAGGGGAAGGAAATGTCCACAAAGGATTACCTGAAGAAGTAAAAGAAACTCACCCCTTTGACCTGGTCATGTGGGGTTGAGTGTGTGTTACGATTGTGTCTTATCTTAGAAGATTAGAATTGATGTAGTTCGGTTATTTGCTAGTTAAAGCAGAGAATCATGAAGTATGATTCATTCTGTGAGCTTTCTAAGCGAAATCATGCATTTTGTTGAGGAGGGATGGGATTCTGTTGTCGTTTGGCTGGTTGGTTTGGTTTAGATTTATGAGACAGTGTCATGTAGCCATATCTGACCTCCAACTTGCTGTGCAGCCAAGTGTGACCTCAAGTTGCTGATCCTGCTGCCCCTGCTTCCCGAGGGCTGGGATTACAAGCCTGTGCCACATCTGGCCTAAGCATGTGCTTTCCTTACTGATCTTCCCTCTTCCTCTCCCTCCCTCCCTCTCTCCCTCCCTCCTCCCCTCCCTTCCTCCTTCCTAAGAGCTGAAGTCTTTTGACTGTGAGTTCGTAAATACAGTTTAGTTTTCATAGAATAAACTATTGTGTTTCATTGGATTACATGTTAAATTGTGTAGTGTATTTGTACAGTTTTGGGGGCAGATAAACATCTGTATGATCTTAGATACATGAACTGTCTTCAGCAAAATCTAAGTCTTTAAACAGTGATCAAGCACTGTACTGTGAATACAGAGTTGCCAACAGGTCACAGATCCTGAACACAGGGTGTATAGGAGAGTGTAGAAAACGGGTCGGTAGGGCATTCTTCTGATACTGTAGTTTCTCACTAGAACCTGACATGTCAAACCTTGTTTGGTTTGCCTCTTTCTGCTTGACTTCTAGGGTCTGTTGGGTTGGTATATGGTGAAAAGTGGATTAGAAGAAAAACCGGAGTCCTATGATATCCCTCGGGTCAGTCAGTACCGCCTCGCAGCCCACCTGGGGTCAGCACTGCTTCTCTACTGTGCCAGCCTTTGGACCTCCCTGTCACTGCTTCTGCCTCAGCACAAGGTAAACATCAGTCCATGGGGTCGCTACAGCTGCCTGGTGCTGACATAGCAGGGAAATGGAAAATCTGGTTCTGATGAAAAGTTAGCAAGTCAAAACCAGATTCCCGTTGATGCCTGTTGCTTTCACTTTGGCTGTTACAAAGAGTGTATCCGTGAGATTCTGATTTCAGTTCTTTGGGAGATATATGTATGTGCACGCACACACACACACACACACACAGGAAAGTTGGTTGATACTATAACACACACACACACACACGAAAGCTGCTTGATATTACAGAGGCTGAATACCTTGTCATCATTATCTAAGGAGGAATGTAAAAGCACTGATTGTAGGAACAAGGCCAGGGGCTGACAGTAAGTCATAGCCCAACCACTTTAGCCCTGGCTCCCAGAATGGATAGTGAACAGCAAAACAGTGGCGACTAGATCAAGAGCTGTGTTTGAACTTTTGCTGGTGAAAACCAGCCCCATTGTGTGGTATTAAATGGGGACATAGCATTCAGTCTAACACTGTATTAAGCCATAGTGTTTTGTGTTTTAAAAGCACTTTTCTATATGGTGGTTTTTCTTCAGGAAAATGTCAGTTTTTATGTTTTATGCTTTGACTCTAAAGCAAGTTACATTTTTTTTTTGAGGCTTTCATTTATAAGAGAAATCTCAAGTTACCACAGTCATTTAGGACACTATTATCATTCTTTTTTTTTTACATTTTTTCACTTTTTTCTTATGTTTACAAATAGTGATGGTGGCTGGGCCAGGCTCAACAAGCCTGAAACCGTGAGTTCAGTCCTCTGACCCCACGTAAAGATGGGTGAGGAGAGCAAGAGACTCCACCGAACTGTACATACTGATCACTGAAAATGTTTAACCTTAGACGGGCAGTGGTGGCACACGCCTTTAATCCCAGCTCTTGAGAGGCAGAGGCAGGCAGATTTCTGAGTTCGAGGCCAGCCTGGTCTACAGAGTGAGTTCCAGGCCAGCCAGGGCTACACAGAGAAACCCTGTCTCGAAAAACAAAAAAAAAAAAAACACAAACAAACAAAAAAAGAAAATGTTTAATCTTAAAAGTAATAATTAAGTAAATATTAAATCATGAGTCAACCTGAATAAGCTTGTTCATGGAGACAATCCTGACCTACCATCAGATTTTTCAGTAGAATCGTCTAAAGGTGTTTAGAGTTAGGGGCTTGAGTCCCAGTAAGGACTGGAGATGTTCAAAAGAGAGCCAAATATTGAAACACTTTCATAGTAAATACTTTTCATCTGAAAAATTCTTCTTCTTCTGACTTCCAAGGGAAATTTATGAAATAAACTGCCTGTACCTATAGCTGTTTCCTGACAAAGTATCTGTTCTTTACAGCCCCTGTGCGCTTCTCATCCCTTCCTAAGTACTAGATATATGTTGGGACAATGTCTGCTGAGAGTCTTTAGCCTGTTAGAACAGTGTCTATTGGGAGTACTTATCCTATGTTGGAACAGTGCCTCCTGGGAGTACTTACCCTTTCAACAGACAGAGACCATCTGACCATGAATTGTCTGGGTTTGGATTTGGAGATCTTGCGCCTCCATAATTCCTACCAAACAGCTTACCTGATCATCCTTTTCAGTTACCAGAAACCCGACAGCTCCTGTGGTTGAGACGTTTTGCTGGTGGAACAGCAGGCCTGGTGTTCCTCACGGCTCTCTCAGGTAGGGCTCAGCCCAGCATACACAGAGCATCTCCATCCAGTCTGAAGTGGCGTTTGTTGCCTGATGCTCTGTTCTTCCTGCTGCCTCTTCATCCTTTCCCGTCACACCCGGCTCCTTCACACCCAGCATCTGTTGTGTTTCCTGCTCCTCTGTCCACTCAGTTGAACAGAACTATTGAGCATTTACTTAAGTCCACACTGCATAAGTTCACATCAATTTCTAGCTTTAACTGGGAACTGCAAGCTGTGTATAAGACAGAGACAGTGACTGTAAATCCTGTACATAACGTGCTTAGAACAGTGCCTGGCATGTAGCAAAAGCCGTGTTAGTTGTATAATGTAAGCATTTTATTACACATTACACCAGAATAGGTCAGAATGGCTGTCCTCAGTGATGAGCATAGGTGACAAGGTCATTGCAGCTCAGATGTAGGCCTTTCCTCCTAAGAGTTTTAAAATTTTTTTATTATGTGTACATGTGTGTCAGTGCACGTGAGTGTATGCCACATGTGTGCAGGTATACACAAAGACCGGAAGAGGGCATTGCATTCCCTCGTAGTGGAGTTACATATGGTTGGGAGCCATCCAACATGGGTGCTGGGAAGGGAACTCAGGTCCTCTGGAAGAGCAGCCACCGCCGAGCCATTGTTCCAGCCCTAGGCTCCTCTTCCTTAGAGTGTGTGCTCACCTCTGACTTTCTCATCTTGGAATGCGTTATCTAGTATAGGACTCAGGACTTACTTCTAGTAAGGAAGCCCTATGTGGCTAACTTACATTCAGGTTAAAGGACACAGCTTCCATTCAGTTACATTACCCGCTCTGAGTACTCAACAGGGGCAGGTGGCTCCTGGCCGATGTTTGCAGGAAACACAGAACACTTCAATTATCACAGAAAGTTCTATTGGATAGTTCTTCTCAGCCGTGAAAATGACATTACTTCAAACCAGCCTACCCTACCCCAACTCTCTGCCCTTCACTTCTTTTCTATATAATGTGAGTTTGAATTTTGATGTTTATGTTTACAAAATGATTCAATTTCTTTGACTTTGATGATAATAATGATCTATCATCTGTTCATTCAGACCTGCCTTCTTTTTGTGCTTAGACAGGGTTTAGTTTATAAGTTTGTGATTTTTTTTTTTTTACTTTCTTTCCTCCTTCAACAAATATTTATCGAATCCTTGGGAAGAAAGACAGATAATGCACAACAAAACACGTCAGTAACATTCAGTTCATGAAGAAACTGAAGCAGGATGAAGGGAGAGGAATGGAGCGGAAAGGAAGGGAAGGGTTCATGTCACATCAGGAGACCCTCTCACGCTGCTGTGTGAGCAGGGACCAAGGGAGTAAATCCTCCAGTTCCTAGAAAGACCAGCAGTAGTTAGGGACAGGAAGGACACAGAGTCAAAATAAACAAAAAAATGTCCAGAGCTCTGGTCTCTAGCACAGACACACTGGAGTCTCGGGGTTGGAGCAGAGGATTCAGGGTGCTGCTGAGTTCCTGTAGAGATTGTGATGTATGTTCTCACTGAGTAGCCCCACTTGCCTGTTTCTCTATTATACTCTAAATCATTCCTCTGTCTAGCTCTAGGTAGGAGATTTTTCTGTGTTCAGAGCTAATACTTGGTCTTCATTTTAATAACTCCTGTGTATCTTGGCACACAGGGGCTTTTGTGGCAGGGCTGGACGCTGGGCTTGTTTACAACTCCTTCCCCAAAATGGGAGAATCTTGGATCCCAGAGGACCTCCTGACCTTCTCTCCCGTCCTGAAGAATGTTTTTGAGAATCCTACCATGGTTCAGTTTGATCACCGGCTTCTGGTAAGTGTGCTGCTTTGTACTGCTGGGCATAGGGACTCCACACCAAGTACTGGGAGTGCTAGCGAGGCACTGATGGCCTCAGTGGCAGGGCAGTAACTGCTTGTTCTTTTAGAAGCAATTCTAGGAGCAGTTGTCTGGTCGGACATTTTTGTCGTCATTACACCCAAATTCTAGCTTCAAATCAGATAGGCCAAAAGTACTAACCCCCCTCAATCCTGAGTGTGTCTGAGTGCCATTCCAGCAGGGACGTGGTGGGTCAGAGAACAGACTACAGGACACAGCTATGAAAGAGCCCCAAAGGTGCTTCATGAATACTTCTCCATTTATTTCAGTTGATAGGTACTGATTTGGTGGGAGACGTACTAAGAGCATGATACACTGTACCCAGGAGACCCCCGTGAAACAGTAGTGGGGTCAAAGACGGCAGGGTAGGGTCACAGGGCACAAGGCATAAGTGGGAGACCTTGATCACTGGTGGATGCGAGAGAAGCTTTAACAGAACAAGAAGTCACATGTAAGGAGAGAGCAAAGGCGACCCCAGGGTCTCTCCTGCAGTGTTCTTAGAACACCATCAGCAGAAGTGGGACCGCTAGAGTGAGTGTTAAGCTAGGGGCAGGATGCCATCAGATGGAGGCATGCCCGGTGTGAGACGGTAGACAGGGAGATGCAGAGAGGACCATATCCTTGGGGTAGGGCAGACATTCAAAGTCGTCTCAGTCCCCACCCCACACAGTATTTTAGCATAAGTAAGCTGTGAATGGGTCTGCCCCATAGCTCCTTCTGAAACATGAAATATGATAGAAAACATTCTCTCTGGCATAGATGCCAACATGTGGAAATCCTAGCTGCATGATGACAGCCTTTCTCTCTTGCAGGGAATCACGTCAGTCACTGCCATTACAGTGCTGTATTTCCTGTCCCGGAGAATCCCCCTTCCTCGAAGAACCAAGATGGCAGCAGTGACTCTGCTAGCTTTGGCATATGCACAGGTACACAGCCCTTCTTGGTGTGATGGCATCCCCAAACAAAGCTCATGTTAATAGTGGATTAATAATGGTATCAAGGGTGGCAATACACTGTTGTCACAAGAGGAGTGACAGATGGCTAATAAACACAACAGCCTTTTCTATTAGAGAGGAGCAACTGAAAATAATAAACCCCGCTTTGTGCTTGTCGCTCTCTGCAGAGCCGGAGCTTGGGTGTGGGGAGTAGGCAGAGATGGTGTATTAGCGTGGGTCTATTCTTCAGAGGGCAATTAGACAATATAATATAGATTATATATAAGATATATAATAGATAAAGCTTTAGTTCCCAAAACTGACATTTTTGCCTGCCTTAGAAAAACTAACACACTAATAGCTTTGAGTAAGGAAACTCAGAATTGTGATGGTTAAACTGGAAACAAACTAAAATCGCCACCATCTGTATCTGCCGTGGGATATGGCACAGTGGTTTAAGAAAAGGCAAGGGACAGGACAGTGTTTTTTTTTTTTAAAGATTTATTTATTTATTTTATGTACGTGAATACACTGTAGCTGTTTTCAGACACAAAACAGAAGAGGGCATCAGATCCCATTACAGATGGTTGTGAGCCACCATGTGGTTGCTGGGAATTGAATTCAGGACCTCTGGAAGAGCAGCCAGTGCTCTTAACCTCTGAGCCATCTTTCCAGCTCAGAACAATGTATTTTTAACAGCACAAAACTATATGTATCTCTATATTCCAGTACTTGGAAGGGAGAGGCAGGTGAGTTTAAGACTACTCAGGTCTACATAGTGAGTTCAAGGCCAGCCAGGGCTACACAGTGAAACTCTGCCTCAAACAAACAACAAACAGAAAGCTGTGTCTCTCAATAACCACATCCATGAAAAACGAGGCATATGGAATGACAGCAGTGACAACCAGTGGGGACAGGAAGCAGGCAGGAGCTGGCTGTGGAAGCTCCTGATCATAGCACTCTGGAGACGGATAACCGGACTGCAGGCACTGTGACCAACTGTGTCATGGACTTCTTCATTTTACGGACGCTGGCTTCTGACAACGTGTGTTTGTAATGTCTGAGAGACAGCATGGAGGTCTGCGCAGTCACTTTCAGGATTACTGCTTCTCTTCTTTCTTCTCCCACAGGTGGCCTTGGGCATTAGCACTCTGCTTCTGTATGTTCCAACTCCGCTGGCTGCCACACACCAGTCATGCTCCTTGGCTCTGCTCAGTGGTGCCCTTTGGCTCATGAATGAACTCCGAAGAGTCCCAAAATAATCCTCAGAGGATCATTTCCTAGGACTGGAACTGCCTTGGGAATTCATCACCAAACACAAGAACTTAGCCTTTTCTAGGACGGTGGTATTGACATGCCACATGGTTTCCAAACTGGTCAAGCCATTCAAAAGACTTGGGTGGAGATGGGCACTGGGTCAAGAATATCACTAAGGTATGCTTATACCAGAGGTTTCCTTAAGACTGTTGCAGAAACAAGCACCTTGTTTCTGCATTTGCTGCTCCATAGGCAGTCTGACGTCTTAGTTCGTGGTTTCTATGTGCTGCAGACTCCTGTCCACTAGTCAGGCTGGTGGTGACAGTGACAGACTCAAGAACCCGTGCCCCTGTAAAGTTACTCGACCAATTGACTGGCAACTGAATGTTGGTTTGTTACAAAGGTTTAGGGTTGTCATATTTTCTGGTTTTTATAAGCAGCTAACTAGCTAGATTTTTGAAGTGAACATTCTCTTTTATGTATAGTTGTGTGTTTGTGTTATATATGCCGTGTGTATGGAGGTGCCCAGGGAGGCCAGGGAAGGTGCTGGATCCCTAGAGCTGGAGTGACAGATGATTTTAATATGCCTGATAAGGGTGCTAGTAACCAAACCCAGGTCCTCTGGAAGATCAGCCGGCACCTTTAACAGCTGAGCCATCTCTCCAGCCCCGGAGTGAATATTATTAAAATTAAATGTTGACTATTTCAATGGTTAAAAAATATATGGAGGCTTAACATGTCTGACCTGAGGTTGCACATTTACAGTTTCTGAACAAGATGATCAGGTTTTTTGAGTTTTTTTTTTTAACTCTAATAATTATTCTGTGAGTTTCAGTGTATCCTAAAGGGTACTGTTCTTAGCTATTCTTAGCAAAAACAGACACATATGTTTTACTCTCCGAGTCCCAGGCCCTGGTGGGCTTGTGTTATTGCACAAAGGAAGTTCCCTCAACCTCAGAACTCACGACCCATCCTCCACCTACGAGATCACAAGGCCTTGGAACAGGACTGGTCTGGTTTTAAGTTGCACCAGCTTGTTCCCCTTCCCACCAAATCTCTACCTCACCATCCCTGCCGCATTTAGCCTGTTGGGCCCATCTGTACATCAGCAGGGTAGAATTTCCTCTAGACAGAATCCATTTAAGAAGGGGCCAGGGCAGCCTGCACACCGTCTGTTTATCTCCAATCCAGTCTTTGGTTAGAAGCAGACAGCAGAGGGCAGGAGGGTCCAGCCAAAGAGAGCACGGAACCGGAACTGTTTTATAGTCACCCCAAGCACATGGCAACCTGGGTTGGCTCAAGTCTCAGATACTCTGTTGCATTTCTTTTTTTTTTTTTTTTTCTACAGTTAAGCATATTGGGAACAGATCCAGTATTTAGCTGTTTAACTGCTTTATGGTTTCTATGTGATCCTGGTGAACAAAGATCATCTTAACTATTTTTGATTCTGTATAATTCACTATCACCATATATGAATATATATAAATATAAATATATATTATATATCTGAATGAAGAAAGCATGAATTGGTAGAAAATATACAATTATTGATTTATGTCCCAAATGTCTCTTTCAGAAAAAGCCATTGCACACTTAAAGGATTAATTTCCTTTAATGTTTTCAACAGTTTGTCCACAGTTCTGTCAATTGTTCTTAAATTATAAAGGTAATTAAAACATGTATTTCAGTCAGCTAACCCAGGATTTTTTTTCTTTTACCAGCCCCACAGGATGGATTGGCCTTAACTCTTACGACATCATGTAGTCTTTTTAAGAACCGGCTTGTTACTGTGTGTGCATGTAGATGGCAGGGGGTGTGCACTGTACATGCGAGTGCATGCAGAGATTGGGGACAACTCCTGTGAGTTGGTTTTCTCCTCTCTTTGTGTGGCCATTGCTTGCTGTTTACCCACTGAGCTGTCTCAGTAGCGCGGGCTTGTTCTTTAACCTACATAGAGATCCGCGTCTCCTGTGACAGGGTCAGGACTGCCAAAAGTGAAGCTGGTTGCAAAGCCCAGCTGATCGTCAGTTTGGAATAGCAGTTTTCCTGCAGCCCTCCTGGTCTGGGGGTGACTGGTACGTTATATACGGGCATATGCCACATAGGGGTGACTGTCGCCACTCCAACACTCCGCACATTTTCTAGAACTCCATGTTTATCAGAATATTAATTATTCCATGAAAATGTAAGAATTCCACAAAATTCTTTTTTCTACTACCTGGCTGACAAAATTCTTAAGCATGTAAAGAGTGCCTCGGCCACCCGAAGCAGGACGGCGCTGCAGCCTTTGTCTTTAAGGCCATGGGTCACAGTGGAAGAAACCATAGCCACTGGAGAGACCATGCTAAATGGTGGAGATCCTGGAGGAGATGTGGAGTATGCTTTACAGCTCCCACCACATGGACGCTGCGAACGGAGAACTCGGGGCAGAAATCTGAGCAGCTGGAGTGCTAATAAGGGGCGGATCCTTTACTACCAGAGGAGCCAGACTCAGGGCTGTGCTCCATGATTGGCTGGACTCACCAGTTGCCACTGTGTGGCAGCTCAGATTTAGAATGTCCTCCAAGGGCCCATGTGTCAAAGGCTTAGTCCTCATGGTGACACTGTTGAGAATGGTGGGACCCTTGCAGCCATAGCTTCCTAGAAGGTCTCTGAATCACTGGAGGACAAGTGAGACTCCCCAATCCATCCTTTTGTGCATCCTGGCCATGAGCTAAGTATCCGCCTTGCTACACATGCCTGCTGCAGCATACACGTCACTGAAGGCTCAAAGCAAAGGGGCACTTGACTACTACGCCTAAAGCTGTGAACCCTTTCTCTTTATAAATGCTCTTGGGTGTTTGGTTACATTAATAGGCCAGCAGGCTGGGGGTAGGGGTGGGAGTCAGGGGTCTATTAGCCGTTGTCTCGCTTTTAGGAGGGGCTTAGGAACAGACACATCTTCAAGCTTGTCTGGCATGCAGGCACAGTTAAACCTCCCATGACTCAGAACATTCTCAGCTCCGGTTTCTATGCAGTGGAAGCAACGATCTGGTTCATATTTGAAAAACTGGAAGCCCTTATAGTGTGAGCAATAACTCCATTTTACAATATAAAAGAGTCTCTTTATTGCCCAGATTTCCAAGAAAGAAAATGGTCTGCTGGTGTGTGATTCTCCTCTGTCCCTCTAATGATAGGATTAACAAAAATAATGAAATACTAGGCAAAGGGGAAATAGGAAACACTTCAGTGACAGCCAATGGGGATATAAAACAAGACAAAGCTGGCTTAAAATAGATTCTTAACAAGCCACAGAAAGCCCGGCATCAACAGGAACCCAAGTAGGGTACAATAGCTTTTCCAGTTAGATCACATCCAAGTTAGGAGGAGGGTAGAGGCCAGGGACAGAGCTGCCCACGATACAGACCATTACCTAAAAGAATTTGATTTCAATCACTGTTTTGCAATCATTGTTTACAAAAATATTTGTTATTCTATATTGTTAGTCAAAGGTGCCAAAACTCGGTTTTAAGTTCCCATTTTTGGACATACTAATTTTTATAATGCCAGCAAAATCTTCATGACTTTGGCAGAAATTCTCATCCCCACAGCAAAGACTGAGGCTAAACATAAACTAAGAGGCGGATTTAAGAAACAGCCAACGCTGCGCCTCCTTAAATTCCTAGTCCAGCTAAAATGAAGTCACATACAAACCCCAGTCTGGAAACTTCCTAAGAATCACCGCCATGTTCATAATGAGGTAGATATCTCTGTTGGGCATTTATACCTTCATTTAGATTGTAATTATATTATTGGAATGTTGTGGGTCAGAAAAAACTGTGCAAAGTTAAGCTAATTGTTAAACATAAAAGCCAAAAGCATTTTTTAAAAAATACTAAAACAGACAGAGCAAAACGTACTAATGAGATTCCATTTGAAGTCTACCCAGTAGGACTGACAGAGGCTCACAGGGACATGTCGAGAACAGTATGCTCAGTTCCTCTCAACCATATAACAAAATGCCTCTTCTTCTTAACCTATGGAACTCTGGGAAGTCTTACTGGAATAAAGGCAAGTAGAGATCCCATAATATGAAAGCAGTAAACAGGATATAATGCACCAAACAGAAACTCAAGGACTAATTAAAATAAATTAAGAAATATATTTATATCGAGAAATTATAAAGATAGGCATCCTGAGTTTTTTTTTTCAACTATAAAAAGAATGTAGGGTTATCAATCCAAAAGGCTGCCATAATGATTAAATAATATGTAGTAAAGAACACAACATTCTTAAGAGTGATACAGATAAGTGCTTGACAAATGGTAGCTTCTAGTACCATCTGGACAAAGAGGAAGTTCAGTGATGAGAGCTTCACAACCAGACTGGTTACCACCTCCTCCCTCAGCTTCAGTTGGAGCACATGAATATGGTCACTGTCAACCTGCCCAGGAACTCTGACTAGATTGCCCAACACAGCAAGACAGCTATATAGAAACCAAGATGAAGCTAAAAGTTCCCTGAGGAAGCAAACCACTAGTAAGAACATATTAAAGCGGCATTAAAAAAAAAAAAATCAGAGACTCACTCACAGGACTTAAAAATTAGAATGATAATTGAGACAACTGAGAAGTTTTAACATTAGAAATCTCAACAATACAGTCCTCATGAAAAGTAAAGACCGGAAATGAAATAATCTTTCCTAGATGTGCACTTAATGCACACGTGGTGGTGCACACCTGTAAGCACAGCAGTCAGGAGGCTGAGGCAGGAGGATCATTGAGAACCAGGCCAGCCTGGGTTACTTAGTGACACCCTACCTCAAAAAAAAAAAAAAAAAAAAAAGGGGGGGGGCTCGGGGGGGGGGAGGAAGAGAAGACAAGAATAGAAGGAGGAGGAGGAGGAAGAAGAGAAGGAGGAAAAGGGAGAGGAAGCGGGAGAGGAGGAAGAAGGAAAAGGAAACAAGAAGAGAGAGGGGAGGAGAAGGAAGAAGATGAGGGAAAGGGGGAGGAGGGAGGGAGAGGAGGAAGAAAAAGAGGGAGGGGAGGAGAAAGGGGGAAGAGGAGGAGGGAGGGAAGAGGAAGAGGAGGAGGGAGAAAAGATGATGATAATTGAGAACTTGTCTGATGGCTCAGTCAATACATTCATCCTCACATTGGGTTATCCCTAAGACCATCTTGACTTTTTTTCTCTATTTCATAATTCATCTCATTTCCTTCTGTTCCCAGTAGGAATTTATTTTCAAAGAAATTCATTTTTATTCTTTAGACTTTTTTTCTTCTGTCTTCTAACCATAGAAATAAAAGGCTTTGGCAAAATGAAAAGAAAATGAGCCAGGCCTGGTGACGCGTACCTTTAAACCCAGCACTTCAAAGAGATGGAGGCAGGAAGATCAGGGGTTCAAGGCTGGCCTCGTCTACCTAGACAATTGGGCTCATAAGACCTGCCTTACTCCCCAAAAGAAAAAAAATCAAACTACTGCTTCAGCCCTGGGAACAATCCCAGGCAGGCCCTCATGGTTTTTTCCAGAAAATAAAAAGGAATCCATGGGGGCAGGGAAGAGCTAATGATCACGGACTACATGAAAGGCTGGCTGCAGAGAAGCCAGTTTCCAAGAGGCAGTGGGTGAGAACATCGGGAATATGGCTTTCCTCTCCTCATTAATGGGAGAGCTATTTGTGACAGACATCCAGAAAGTGGCCAGGTGGCTCCGTGGCAGATTTATCTAGTTATTCCAAGTTTAGAATTTGCTGTCTTTCAAGCATCTAAAAAAAAAGAAAAGAAAAGAAAAAGAAAGAAAAGAAAAGAAAAGAAAAGAAAAGAAAAAAGTAAGAATTTTGACTTTAAGCCAGGCACGATGGCTCACGCCTTTAATCCCCAGTGCTCAGGAGGAAGATGCAGGTCTCTGTGAGTTTGAGTTCGAGGCCAGCCTGGTCTATAGAGCAAATTCTACCACTCTCCTGATGCTATTCTTTCTTAAAACAAAACAAAAACATCCCTTACCAAAATATACATAAGATCTTAGCAGTGAAATGAGGGAAGTCACTTTGAAGCTTCTGCACAACATATGCCTGTGAGACAGTAACCCGAAACAGGCAAACCTAGGTCCCCGGATCCCATCACGGCTTCTCCATTCTATAAGCACACTTAAGGCTCAAAAGGCAACATTACTGCCCAAGCAGCCTGTGAGGCACATAGACATGGAAATGTTTTCTATACTGGTCAGACCAAGTATCAGAACAAATACTGTCAGATCTTCACTAAGTCATTCATTTCAGAGGCGCTCTAACCTCTCAGATCTATATAACAAAATCACCAACACTGCCAGGGATTTCGGAGCACACCCACAATGGCTTGTCAAGTAAGCAAGGAAGTTGTATTATTTTGGTTGCCTTGAAATCTGGTCCACTGAACCTCAGAGATCTCGGGTCCCTATTCAAGGCTGTGGATCTCCACATAAGCATCTCTCTGTTACAGAGAAAACAGGGGCAACTGCGCTTGCTGGAATGTCTCTGGCTTTGTAGCAGTCAATCCAAACTGGTTTCAACCATGCCTCCGGTTGCCCAATCAAAAACTTGCTTCAGCAAGGGGGGGGAAATGCTACGTCCCAGAAATAGATCAGATTTCTGAGATAAAGGAGAAGCATGCTTCATTTGGGCTAAGCTTAGCACCAGCCTCTCGACATTTAGTTCCTTGAAGTTAAATTGCGGCTTCTGAAAGAGGTCCCGTCCTGGGCACCAAAAAGAAATTTAAAGTGAAAAAAGTAGAAATTCGCAGGCCAAAGCAGCATCGGAGGCCAGCTGGAGAGAGTGGAGGAATTCGGTAAGCAACAGCAGCAGCAATCCGAAGGAACTGGAGGTCCTCCACTTCCGCTCCAGCCTCACGGCCCCACCTGCACCCCAATCATCGGCACCACTTGCTCGATCCACAGCAGGTCCAATGGAGCCGAGGCTCGGGTTTGTCGGCGGTGAATTCTGTGGATGCGCAGAAGGTACAGGACGATGGCCAGAAGCACCACCAAGGTACAAGCAAAGAAGAGATAGTGGTTGTAGACAAAAGAAAGGCGGAACCAGCTGCCGTGGGCTTGCCGGACTCCTCCCTGCCGGAGGTCCCTAGGGGGGATGGAAAGAGAACTGTTAGTTTCAGAGTGGACACAGGCTGAAGTCTCCATCTTACTTCATCCCTCTTATCTCTCCACTCAAACATCCTAAGAAGCCAGCTGTGCCCAGCTAATGGAGCTTAAGGACACCCGGGCCAAGGGCTGTCCGACTCCAGCTCCTTCCTCTCCCGAGTCTACAGGAGGACGATCGCCGTGGGTTGTAGGATATAGGGACAAGATCAAAAGACTTTTGAAACTAAAGTTTAAAAAGTGAGCAGAGACAAAACTGGTCACTGCAACGTAAATCTTTTGTTGTTTGGGGTTTTGGTTTGTTTGATTTTGTTTCTGAGACAGCGTCTATGTAGCCTTGGCTGTTTTGGAATTCAGCATTGTAGAGACCAGGCTGGCCTCCAACTCATCGAGATCCACCTGCCTCTGCCTCCTGAATGCTGGGATTAAAAGCGTGCATCACCACACCCAGCTGTAACATAAATCTTACAGCATAGTTTGTAAATACAGTACTAAGAGGAGAGTGTCCTTGGATCCAAACAAGACAAACTGAGTGCATCTAGATCTAAAAAAAAAAAAAAAAGTCTCAGCGCTCCTCAGGTCTGGCGGAGGCGGAGGCGGAGGCGGAGGCGGAGGCGGAGGCGGAGGCGGAGGCGGAGGCGGAGGCGGAGGCGGAGGCCCGCGCAGCTGTATTGTACTCTGGAGAAACGGCATTATATAAACCAAAGAATGACGGTCTGAAGCCTGGCTAGGATGGTTTACACTCTTGTCCCACCCAGCTACTACATCCATTTTTGTTTGTATGACCTGCAGTGATTTTTAAAAATGTACATCTTCAAATGGAAAAATGTCATATCAAATACGGATTTCTGATTTCCCTGGACAAACAGGAACTGGCAAATGCTGGACAAATGTGTGACAAGAATCGGTACTCTAGGTGGTGACACTCTCTCTGGTCCCACACTGTGCCGCATAGCCCACTCCCTTATGTCTGTCCCCTGTCTGCTTCCCATAACAGAGTTTAGAGGAAAGGGCACAACTGAGTAAAAGTTCTTATTTTATCTGAACCTGTTCTAGAAGATCTAAAACCAAAGATCTCACAGGCCACAGCGGCAAGGCATGGGCCTCCCACAGCTGATAGAAACACCCATTCTAGAACCATGTTGACTCCCTTTTCTAGTGCTAGATGACACAGACTGTGCCGGGTCATTAACACCATGTCGAGAATGATTCTACTCACTAGGAAAGAAGGTTTTCCCGGTCAGCCTCTGTAAACTTCCTGTCAAATGTGTTTCCCAGACTAATTTAAGACTGACAACTTAGATCATCAGTAGTACCCTACAAATGTGTAGCTCAATCCTAAGGGCCAATCCACTGGAGAACAAATTCAGCTGATTTTCTGAAACGGCCAAGGCGAGGAAGGAACTCCAGACCAATCCATCCTTTCTGTCCCAGCACGCCTCACCCGAACAGAGGCTTGAATGGAAGGGTCAGAAGGATTCTCTGGACGGTGGGAAGGTAGCACGTCACTGGAAAAATCTATTCTGAGGCATCAACGTAACATCCCCTGATGTCAAGGTACCAGCTTTCTTGGTGGACTTTACCTGAGAGGCAGGAATCGGGTTTTGTACAGAATTGCTCCCAGCGTCCACTGCACCTCTCTGTCGTACACCAGCTGTGCTGTCTGCAGGTTTGGGTAGTCGTAGGGGAAGTGGAACCCCTCGTGCAGGACTTCGTACATCCAAGCTGACTTAAAACACTGATACCTGCGTTGTGAGAAGAAAGTTCGCGAAGCTTTAGAAAATAGGAAGAAAACGTAACTGCAATGCATTCCTTTGTAGGAAGCCATGTGTTTCTGCCAGATGTCCTTGTCCGGCCTCTCTTCCTGCTTCATCTTCTCCCCTTTGGGGAGAGCCAAACTGGAGCTGGGGGCTGTGGTTTTCTCCTGTTTTGATTTTTTTAAAAGGATTTATTTATTTATTTATTTAGTACACTGTAGCTATCTTCAGACACACCAGGAGAGGGTATCCAATCCCATTACAGATGGTTGTGAGCCACCATGTGGTTGCTGGGATTTGAACTCAGAAACTCTGGAAGAACAGTCAATGCTCTTAACCACTGAGCCATCTCACCAGCCCTGTTTTGATTTTCAAGATCCCTGTCTTTAGAGAACATTCTAAATAACAACGATGTGTTTGTACAGTATCTATGATTTGCATAAATGGAAAACAAGACTGGCAGGGTCACTGTTGTCAGGGAGTGGGTGACAGGCACACAGAAGGTCACTGCACTGTTTTATGTTTGTTCCTCTGAACCTGTCCTTTCTTTTCTCTTCTTTTTTCTCTATGTATCCCTGGCTGTTGTGGAACTCACTCTGTAGACTAGGCTGGCCTCAAACTCAGAGATCTGCCTGCCTCTGCATCCTGAGTGCTGGGATTAAAGGCATGCGCCACCATGCCCAGCATCTTTGAATTTTTTAAACTAAACATTTAAATATGGGAGGATTATGAGTTCTTTTTTTTTATTTTAAAGATTTACTTATTTATGTATGTGAATACACTGTTGCTGTCTTCAGACACACCAAAAGAATCCCATTACAGATGGTTGTGAGCCACCATGTGGTTGTTGGTAATTGAACTCAGGACCTCTGGAAGTGCAGTCAGTGCTCTTAACCACTGAGCTATCTCTCCAGCCTGGATTATGAATTCTTGACAAAATGTTGACAGTTGCTGAAACTAGGTTCCTTCTACTTTTTGGTTAATTTTCTATAATAAGATGTTTAAAATAACAAAGATTGGGCTGGTGAGATGGCTCAGAGGTTAAGAACACTGGCTGTTCTTCCAGAGGTCCTGAGTTCAATTCCCAGCAACCATATAATCATAATCATCGGTAATATGACCTGATGCCCTCTTCTGGCATGCATGTGTACATGCAGACAGAGCACTCCTACATTTAAAAGATATTTATATATAAACATATAAAAATGTCATCTCTGTTAACACTGTATCACTTGGAGAGAGCATTCTTTGTTAACTATACGTTTCCCACCACAGAAATGGGCTCACTCAAATTTGGTCCTCCAGAAAACCACAATCCAAAATAATCAAATTCTCCTTCAGCCTAAAATCCAATCTGTGCTGCTCAGTGATTCTTCGTTATAGTTTCCCAGCCATGTGTTCAGAGCGGATCTAAAGTGGAAGAGAAATGTATTTACTTGAGTCGATGCTCATCCGCATGTGGAGAAAAGAGGCCGTTCTTGAATCTCTGGGCTAGCACCGACCAAGCCATGCCACAGTAATCCTGGAACAAGCAGAGACACAGTGCAGCACAAAATGACAGGCAAGTCCTCCAACCTCACACAGGCGCTCTAGTTCCTCAAAGTCCACCGTCTCACCAAGGAAATGACCCGCACATTGGAGTGATGACCCGGACGAAGCACTTCCTCTGTTCCCAATGCTTTCAAGTCTAATACTAAACAGACGACTCCTGAGCCAGCCTCTCAGGTGTCAGGGAGCCTGACGGTTAGGAAAGAACAACTAATGTCAGCCATGAGCTAGTTGGACTCACTGTGGAGAACTCATATGGGCAAGGAGAGCTGCCTGTCATCAGCCTGTCGGGGAGTTACAACTCTCAAAGATCTTGGGGGGCGCTGGGGTACACTGGCTGGATTATTATTCTTATGTCTCACCAGCTGCCACAGTATTTTGTAAGCATACACCTTCCTCACTAGCTGATTAGCTTAATAAAAACCTAACACCAACAGCTCAGCAGACAAGGGAAGGCAGGACTTCCGGGCTGAGAGAGAGAGTCTGAGAAGAAAAGGTGCAGAGATTCTCTGGCAGGACCTGAAGGAGGTCAGATGTGGGGGCGGTGAGGGGTAACAGGCCACGTGGCAGGATGTGGATTAAAACAGTCAGGTTAATTAAGTTAGATGAGCTAGCTGGAAGGTAGCCTGAGCTAAAAACCTAAGCTATAAAATTAATAAGTCTCTCTGTCATTATTCTCCCGCTGGTAGGCCCAAGAAATCCCACTAAGGGGGCTGGGAGTTGTTCGGAGAAAGTAGATTTGCTGACTTGTTGGTGCCAGGTGCTTTCCTGTGTGCTAGAGGATGAAGCACTGAGGGGAAAAAAGTCCTGTCTCCATGAAGTTTACATCCAACTAGTAAGAGAAGACAAATGGTCATCACAGAATGTGCAAGACGGCACAGTGTTCAACGGGCAACAAGGCAGGAGTGGGTAATGTGAGGAGGGTGGTAACTCGGACAGGGGACTAGGGAAGGTGGGAAGACAGCATCTGGATTGGGATTTTAAAAAGTCAGAGCAACAACCTCCTTTACTCAGACAGCTCACGGAGTCACTAGCAACGTGGCTACGTAAGCCCTTGAGCTCTGTGGTGTTCAAAACCACAGAATCTCAAGAATCTTTGTGACAAGAAGAAGACTCAAGGCAGGCCAGTCAGGGAGCCTGGGACTCTGGGAGGAAAGGAAGAAGGGACCCTGCGCCAGAGCAGGAGCGGTGTGGAGCAGGAGCAGCGTGCAGCAGGAGCGCCACAGTTTTCCCTGCCTGCCTTTGGCAGCAGAGAGCAGGAAGAAGAGGGGAAAGCATAAAGACCACAAGAGCAGAGATTCTTTCCAACTCTGTCTCTCAGACAGATCACAAAATTATATAAAAATCAGAGGTGGCTGTGCTCAATCTAGAATGTTCCCTAAGACTCAGGCATTAGAGACTTGGGCCCTGTGTGGCACTGTCGGGACACAGTAGGGTAGAGTCCTTAACTGGGGATTAATGAGCAGACTGTGGCAGGGAGCCCTTTAAAGGACATTACAGGATCCCGGCTCCCTCTACACTCTTTGTTCCCAGGTGCATGATGAAAAACATTTCAGCTCAGCCATGCATTTCCACCATGATATGCCCAAAGCAAAGGGGTCAGGTGACCCGGACTGAACCCCTCAAGCTGTGAGACAAGATACCCTTTTCTTCTTTTTTAAGTTGAACATGGCAAGTATTTTGTTATAGTCATCTTTTTCTAGTTGACCAACAAAACCAGGTGTGGTGACACACACCTTTTCACATCAGAACTTGAGAGGCAGAGGTTAGGGCGCCAGCCTGGTCTATATAGCAAATTCCAGGCTGGCCATAGTGAGACTCTATTTCAAAAACAATAACAAAAAGCAAAAAAAAAAAAAAAAAAAAAAAAGAACAATAACCATTTTGACTAACAGCCTGTAAACTAAGGCAGAGGTACGGAGCACTGGTCAGACTTGTAGCTGTGCAGGTAACTAAAGATGCCGGTCTATAGGATACTTAAGTTCTACTTATGTGCACAGCGAACTTTTAGTCTTGCACTTAAATATTTCTACCATGACTGGGGTTTACAACACCTTCTACCAATGACCCCATACCATTCCAACCTCTTTTTAAATTGTCTTTGGGAGCGGTGTGTGTGTGTCACATGTGTTCGAGGACAGAAGATGGTATCAAAGCCCTGTGGATTTTTATACAAATCTGTTGTAAGCTGCCCAACATGGACCCTGGGAAGCGAACTCTTGTCCTCTGGAAGGACAATGCTCAGTCACTTAGCCATTGCCCCAGCCCCGATTCAGGCCTCTTAATAGTTCAGACCAAGAGAAGAAAAACAGGCGTGTCCCCTAAGAACATATTACAAGTCAGACACCTACAAAGGGGGGAAATAACACAAAATGATACTTTGGAGCCACAAATGTCAGGAAAGTGGGAAGAAAAGCTAACTAGTCACTACTAGGACAATTTTATACCTCTGGTATTAATACAGCCAAGGAAACCTAAACATACCTATCAGAAGGCAGTTTAACAGAGATGGTCCCTTAACCTGAGTTTACTTTCTCCTCTATAAAACGGGGCTTCATAGGCCCTTATAAAGCCTCAAGTGAGATCATGCAAGCAAAGCCTGCTTGGCATAAAGGCAGGCATCCATTAAATGACAGCTGCCAGTCAGTATGAGTCATCTTGATTCTTCTTTTTTTTTTTTTTTTTTTTTTTTTCAAGACAGGGTTTCTCTGTATAGCCCTGGCTGTCCTGGAACTCACTCTGTAGACCAGGCTGGCCTGGAACTCAGAAATCCACCTGTCTCTGCCTCCCAAGTGCTGGGATTAAAGGCGTGCGCCACCACCACCCGGGAGTCATCTTGATTCTTAATGAGTTACCTGAGCAGCCTTGGCAAATGTTGGCCCATGGTAGCGGCCACCGATGCGCAGCACGTCCTCAGTGCAGTAGAAGAACTCCGAGAAGCCATAGAACTCGCTGTTGTTGAAGTCGATTGGGGACTGGTAAATGCCGTTCAGGGAGGCCTGGCTGGTGTTGGAGCGGGCCAGCAGCGGGCTCAGCATCGCCCGACAAGTAGCCCAGTCTCCCTTTCCTCGGATGTGAAGGACCTGGCTGTTCCTCTCCACCACATCTGTGAGGCCCACAGGCAGGCAGGGGTCCAGGAAGGGATTGTCGGGACTCAGGCCTGTCTTCTGGCCCAAAAGTCTGTCACAATGACAAAGACGGACAGAATGTGACACTGCTGAACCTGACTTGAGAACTACGGTTCATGTCACAAATCCCTGATGTTCAACGACAGCCCCAGCAACAATGACTGAGTAGAGAATTATGCAGCAGCACATACATATTTAATTTAAACAAATTAGGCTTAGAAAAAAGGCAGCCCTGCCAGTGATGGTTTTTCCTCAGTCCTATCATCAACAGGTATTTTCCAGCGCTGGGTCAAACAGCTGTGAATCGGCTGTTCTCCCCCAGGGCCTTCATTTCCACACACCTCTGAAAACTGCAAGGGGCTCCTGTTTAACACACAACTGGGGGCTGGAGAGGCAGCTCAGCAGCTAAAGCACTAGACGCACAAGCGTGAGTGTGCGAGTCTGAATCCCCAGAACACATGGAATAGCCAGATCGGGTGGCGTGTGACTGTAATCCCAGTGCCTGTCAGGGAGATGGGACGAAGACAGAAAAATCCCTGAAACTAACGGGCCAGCGAGCCTGGTGCACACAGAAGTGGACTATCAGAATATAGAACAGGAACAGAGTCAGGTGAAGAGACTTCCTCACGCTTCTCAGAACACTCCAAGAAAACCTGTCCTGAGTCTTGTGACCTCAGTTTCTTCAAAACACAGAATTGTTCTTGGAATGTGTTCTTGTGTTCCTCCCAGGAGCTTACTTGAGATTATTCGTTATTGCTTGCTAGTGTTATTCAATTGAATGTTTAAGTGTGCCCTTTAAATGCCTCTATAGAAAAACATGGTTTTGTCACACTGGTTTGTCTTTGTGACAGTTTGAATTCATGACAAATTTACTCATGTGACTTCTCTTAACCCTCAAGAGGATAAACTGTCTGAGGCTCTGAATAAAGTTGGCTATTGCATGAGACTTGTTTGCCTCATTTATCGGCTCCAGATCCCAGGGCCTGTAGAGTGACGACAAAAGAGAGATCCTGATCTCAAACAAGGTGACGGTGATGAGGACTCACACCCAATGCTGAGTGTCTGATGACACATGCATGCCCTCATTCACACATGACACCCAAGGCTACACACACACACATACATACACACACACACACACACACATTCAGTGGGGAGGGCTTCCTGAAGAGGGAACCACAGTCATGGCACAGTGGTGGCTCTGGGTGAGTGCTGCCGGGACAAGAGCAGGCAGAGGGCCAGCTCCAGGGACTGAAGCACAAGCCCCTCGGCCTCTAAGTGGGAGGGGAGGGGCATCACACAGTTCTGTTTCTCTAGTCTATACTTGCTAGCGACTGTATTCTTATTACCAAGGAGATTAATATGCAGATCTGGCCAAGGACAGAAGTCACGCTGAGACCACTGGCAACTGCATCAGTTGTATGCTCTCCGTTCCTAAGCAGGCAGCTGTGAACAAGTGGACTGTGGGGTGAAGATGCCGCATGGGTAGAGACTGAAGGAGGGCAGAGAATGGACAATGTGGCTGAATGCTCGGGAATAAATGGATTCTATTTTAGGGGTGCATCACTAACCACAAAGGAACTCATGAAGAAGCGAGAACCATCCGGGAGGATAGGTTTGTCTAGTAGATGGGCAGCTACGGGAGCCATACTTTAACCTAAAGTAAGCAACTTCAGAGCTTGGCCAGAAAGTACCACGGCCTGGGAAATGATGCAGCCTGGCAAGAAAAGAGAGAGCACAGGACAGCGGGAGAGGGGAGCATAGAGGCTCCTGGAGACCTGATGCAGAACCGGGGTTCCCCAGGCATCACAGCAGGGGCGCAAGCCAGCTTGTGCGGACAAACACAAACACTGTGCGATGTGCTTGCAGGTCATCCAGAACACCTGCATCCCTCGACTATGTGACCTCTTAGTGACCTGTGACCTCTTAGTGATGGAGACTTAATTAAAAAGACTGACGACAGCAGCATTTTCTTCAGCATTCTCTACATATAAGAGAACTGCCACGGAGAAGTTACTGCGCGTGGGATACACCAGTGCCTCTTCAGGTTAGTGTTTCTTTCTATGGCTGTAGTTAGTTTTTTGGTAGAAAAGAACTGTTGTTGATGTATCTTCTTCAATGTACAATGATTTTTTTAAAAAAAGCTTTAATCAAAGCAAATAAGAACAATTACTTCATAGCTATTCATCGTGGCCTGAAGGTATTCAAATGAAAAAGTCAGTGAACTCGGTCGGGGCTTGGAGATCTCAGGCTCAGCTGTTAAGGGTTCTTCCTGCTTTGGGAGAGGACCCAGGACCCACATGAGACGGCTCTTGGGGACCCAGCACAGCCTTCTGATGTCTGCAGGGGCACCTGTACATTTTCAAACACACAATCTTTTTTATTTTTTTTATTTTTTTTTTGGTTTTTCGAGACAGGGTTTCTCTGTGTAGCCCTGGCTGTCCTGGAACTCACTCTGTAGACCAGGCTAGCCTCGAACTCTCAAACTCAGAAATCCGCCTGCCTCTGCCTCCCAAGTGCTGGGATTAAAGGCGTGCGCCACCACCGCCCGGCCCACACAATCTTTTTACAGAAATCAGTGATCATGGCAGTTCTGGATGAAAAAACTGGCTATGCAAAACTTGAGACACAATTTTAAAGGCAATCTTAACTTTATATACTTGTTAAGTTTAATGCATACAAGTAAACCTAATTCTCACCCAAGAGGACTTAACTGACTTTTCTAGCCACACACATCTCGTGATGTCAGGTGTGGCTGTGGTATACGGCAAAGCACAGATAGTTTTCCCAGGCTTCCTACGAAAGAGTGGAATGTAGCCTCGAAGTGCAGGGGCTGACAGGGTCCCTAGAGATGCTCTGGAAGGGAGGAGACAGGCTTATCTATCAAAGCTGGATGCTACTGTTTCTTCCAGATATTTGTAGCCTGGTGACACTGTGCTTTGGAAACGAGGGTTCCCTGTCAAATGTACCTGTTTTTGTTAAGTGTTTCATTCAGCACAAGATCTTCATAGCGCTGCCGGGCAAAGTTGCCCCCAAAGCCCAGAAAGGTAGTGACGTAAACTCTGTACACGTGCTCCGTGTGCTGCACGTCACAGCCCAGGTTGAACTCAGCCAGCAGGATCTTGGCAGCTTCTTCCTGTAATGCAACATCAAGAGAAAAAAAAGAGAATTTCAGCTCCTTTTCCAGAAAGCAGTGGCGTTGTGAATACAGTGGACTCTGTCTCTATGGCTGCTCTTTAAAACCGCCTCTCATCCTCGTGGCCAGGCGTAATAATGTACTCCTGTAATCCCAGCCACTTATGCAGCTGAGGCAGGAGGATCACAGATTCAAAGACCATTTGATTTAGGTAGCAAGGCCCTGTGTGTGTGTGTGTGTGTGTGTGTGTGTGTGTGTCTATTTCCCAAGAAGTTTAACTGAGGAGAGAGGCTCTGCACTGAACGCGGGCAGCGCGGTTGATTCCACAGGCTGCAGCCTTGCACAGAATAAAGAAGGAAGCTGAGCACCCAAACCCTTCTCTCTGCCTCACACTCCTGCTGTGCCTTCCCTGCCATGAGAGTCTGTGCCCCCTCAAAATGTAAGCCATAACAACCCTTCCTCTTAAGTTCTTTTTTTCTCCATGAGCTTCTTTCTTTCTTTCTTTCTTTCTTTCTTTCTTTCTTTCTTTCTTTCTTTCTTTTTTTTGTTTTGGTTTTTAGAGACAGGGTTTCTCTGTGTAGCCCTGGCTGTCCTGGAACTCGCCCTGTAGACCAGGCTGGCCTCGAACTCAGGGATCCACCTGCCTCTGCCCCCCAAGTGCTGGGATTAAAGGCGTGCGCCACCACTGCCCGGCTTCTCCATGCATTTCTTAACAGCAGCAAGAGAAGCAGCTGATGGGGAGTTGGGTTTATTTATAGCTAGTGCCATTGTCTGGTATGGACTTCTGACTTTTCCAATTCTCTACAATGGAAATGTATTATTTTCATAATGAGAAAAAATCCTTTATCTAAAATACAGCTAATCATGACATCTATTTTATGACCTTATCTGAAACTATTCAGGAAGCTTTAATATTTCTTATGACAGGCTTGGGCAGTGGGGAAGTTCAGTTTTATCTTCAAAATAAGGGGGCGGGGATTGTTGTAGTGTATTTCTGCTTGTTCATTCTTTTATTTCACACAGGGTCTCACTATGTAACCATGGCCGGTCTGATACTCACCATGTAGATCAAGCTAGCCTTCAAACTCACAGAGATTCACCTGTCTCTGCCTCCCAAGTGCTGGGATTAAAGGCGTGTGCCACCATGCCCGGCCTTGATTTTGGTTTTTAAGTTTAAATGCAAAGGCTGTATTATGTCCCTGAGCTCATGGTCCAATGTCACAGCAAAGCTCCTCTTTCATTCTGATTATTCCTGTTCTTCCTCATATCCGACCCAGCCCCTACTCCCTTCCATGAATGTCCATCCCAATGCACTTTGTGTGTAATTCTTTCAATGTGTATTATTGCAAAGTGGCGGTAGCTATTTGAACTGTAGTGTTTTTTATTTTAATGTGAGCATATTGCTGCACCTAGCAACTCTACTCCTAGATGTACACCCAAGAGACCTAAAAACTTATGTCTACAAGAAAGCGTGTTCCTGAATATTCACAGCACTACTCTCTGTAACAGCCCAAGTGTGGGCACAGCTCCACTGCGCATGCACTGCCGGATGAGCCGATAGAACATAGTCATTCAGCGCAAAGCCGCTCAGTGGCGCACCGGAATGTACCACAACGTGGATTAGCTAGCAAATGCTTTCCTGAGAGTCAGACGTAAAGGGCTGTGCTGCATGATCTCGTTATATGAAATATCCAAATAGGCAGATCCCGAGATGAGAGAAAGCAACGGGGAGACGGAATGGCGGGAGATAACTGCCAAGGAATATGGGGTTTCCTTCTGGCAGTGTTGAGAACATTCTGGAATTCCAGGTGATAGTTGTGCACTCTTTGCTATTTAACCAAGCACAGGCATCCAGGCATCCATCTATGAATCACTATACACTGTGGAGAGCCGCATAGTGCTGCGCCTTTAAGATGGCACTGGTCTCCGCCTTCCGCCACCTGCTGGCGAGGACTCTTAGGAGTAAACAACTCCTTATATGGCAGTGGCAGTTGATCTGGCTTGTCTCCGTGTGTGTGTGTGTGTGTGTGTGTGTGTGTGTGTGTGTGTGTGTGTGTGTACCTATCTGCTGTTGCCACGTGGCAGACGGGGGTTGGCTAGTCCTAGAGTACTTAAGCCTGGGAGACGCTTCCCTCGGGGTCGTCAGTTAGAAGATTGTTCAAAGGTCCTGAATAAACTGCTTGGAGAAGAGCTCGTGGGTTGCGTCTTCCTTGCTGGTCGAGGGTGGACGTGACAACACACCTGTGTCTGCATTTGGTGCTTGCAAGAATTTCTGCTGCTGCTTCCTGAATCTGCACCCGAAGGACACGTAAAATCTCACACCCCAGGGCACTCGTCCACTTTTTGCTTAATATCAGAACTATGTGTTCACCTATTGAATAAATACTGACCATATCAACTAGAAAGCCTCATAATTACTCTAGTTCTCCCAACCTCTGACCCTAGAATGGACGACCCTGACTGTTAACGTCACAGTTCTAACAGTCCCACCCATGGAAATCCAGACATAGCAGTTCCTTAGGTACCTCTCACACTCAGTGGACACAAATGTGAGTTAGGAGAACTCATGAAGTCTTAGGACTTCAGAGCTACAAGACCGAAGAGATGCTCTGACCCCGTCTCAGGTCCACACTGTCTGCTCTGACCCACACAGCCTATGTGGTCACAAAACTTACAACTGGGAAGGACCGTCTGAGTTTGTCAGACTATGGAACTGAGGTTCGTGTGACTGCCTTTCTCAAAACTTTGGAACAAGTGACAAAATTAAAAACCAATCCCCTACAACAACACTCAAGACTCCACCCTCTCTCCCCAGAACCACCCCTGGAAATCCAACACTGGATCAGGCTCCTGGGCACTCCTTGGACATTCCAGACTCTGCTGCTTTCTGTGCCTCTGTACATTGTAACAGCAGGAGACAGCTTTTGCTAGACTTGAACTCTGATCCTAGGCCCAGGTAAACAGATCACCTTCCATGGCCAGCATGGCTCCTTCTGAGGCCTTCACAAATGGGGCTGACCAGCACGGTCCTTATCTCCTCACAGATGTTATAAGGAAAGGGTCTCGACTAAGGGCCATGTTAAGCACCACAGAATACCCATCCACACACAATCATTCAGCCCCAAGGGTGACAAACCACCACCTAGATCAAACCACAGGGACTGCTGTGGTCCGCCTGACACCGACTGGCTGACTCCATAGACTTCTGGAGGCCGTGTAGCTAGCATGTCCTATTTCTCCTGCATATACACACTCAAGAGGGATACTTCCCTTTTCTCTCTATGGTGAACCTTCCCTTAAGAATACCTTCTTGGCTGGAGATGCAGTTTATTGGCACAGCACTTGCCTAGCATATGCAGGACGCTGGGATGAATCCACAGCGCCACAGAACAAACAAACAAGCAAGCAAATAGGTGTTAGCAGCAAAATATATTCTTTAAGGGGCCAGGGACTCTGTCAGTAAAGTACTTGTCACACACAGAATTAGGGCTAGAGTTTGATCCCAGTTCTCACATGAACACCTAGGTGTGTAATGTCAACCTTGGGTCTCCACGATCATGCTTACCTACACAAGCACCCACACCGCAGACACAGAAACACAGACAGACAGACAGACAGACACACACACACACACACACACACACACAAAGCTAGGTGTGTCAGTATGTGCCTGTAATCCCCGTGTTGGGGAAGACAGGACAGAAGGATTCCTGGGGCTTGCTGGCCAACCAGTCTAACACACAAGTTCCAAGTTGAGTGAGACACTCTGTCTCAAAGAGTAGGGTGGCACACAATGGCATACAATCAGGAAAGACACCAACGTGGTCTTCTAGCCTTCACATACACAGGCACCCAAATGTGTGCACACCCACACACATGAGCACAGAGGTAAATATTCTTAGAGCTGAGAGAAAGGAACAGTAGGGGAAAGGGTATGTATGAATGGCACCCAGGACTGACCTATATGTCACCCCAAAAGATACACAGTATTAATTATAACTACTAAGATGTACTAAGCACTTATCACAAGCTGGGCCACTTGCTAAGTGCTTCACATCCTGATGCCCTGACAATTTATAAGGTACATACTATTATGCTTTCTGGACACTGAGGCTCAGGGAGGTAAGCTACTCAGGATAATGCAAGCTAGTGCCAGGGTGGTGGCAGGCACAGACCTTTAATGAAGCAAAGGCAGGCAGATTTCTATGAGTTCAAGGTCAGCCATGGCCATAAATTGAGAGCCCCTAACCCCCACAAAAAAAAGAACCCAAGATCTAAACAGTGCTCTTCCTTCACCAGTACTGGCATTCCTAACTGAGCTTCCATACAAGGAAGAATACCTGTTTGGGAGGAAGGACGGAGGCTGAGGTAGGAACTTCGTAGGCGATTTGGAGAGAGGCCCCTCCCATGTCCAGGATCCCCACGGTCCTCCTGCGGCCTGATGCTGAGTCCACGGAAGTGTCCGCATCTGACTCTGAAATCAATATATCATTGATATAGCAACAGGATTCAAATAACCAAAACCAAAATTCAAGTCCAAAAGGAAAGACAACCCTCTGCCACTCACCAGAGAGACAGAGACAGAGACAGAGACAGAGACAGAGACAGAGACAGAGAAGAAAACTGCCAGGCCAGCAAGATGCCTATCCTGTAAAAGCTCTGGCTTTTTATTTGAAAGCAACTAAAATAAATTAATCTAACTACTAAGTATATGATATATAGTGAATAATTCTTGCAAATGACTTAAATATAGTATTTCAACTATGTATCGCAGGGATAGGAAGAACCAGCTCTGGCAAGTTAGCTGTCCTCTACACGGGCACCATGGCACGCTCACCCCATCCTCGTACAGATACAATAAATAACGTTTAAACAGCAGCAGCAGCAATGGAAGATTTAAAAAATGTGTTCTGTGGGAAAAGAGCAGACACAAAAAATAGTAAAATATTCCCAGTGTTGGGTCTGGTGGTGAGCTCATCCACGTTCGTCTTATTACCTATTCTACGTTTACAGATGTTGGAAGCGTTCCATAAAAGAAGACAAAGAAGAAACTTACACACTTCTGACGATTTCCAGCGCTTACACACTACTGACGGTCTCCAGCACTCACACTACTGACAGTTAGAAGCGCTTACACACTATTGACGGTTAGAAGCGCTTACACACCACTGACAGAAGTGCTTACACACTACTGACGGTCTCCAGCACTCACACTACTGACAGTTAGAAGCGCTTACACACCACTGACGGTTTGGAGGAGCTTCAGCCCTTGAAGAACATTGCAAGGCAGAACTTACCATCTTCATGGTCAAATCTTCCCAGAACAAAGTTGATTCCAATCCATGCATAAACTCCTAAGGAAGAAACGGAAAAGGCCTCTCTATAATTTGCTGCTACTGGACAAAACTTAAAACCCTCCCCAGGGCTGCCCTCTTTATCCTTTTCCTGGGAAGACAAAAAAAAAAAACCCATAAAATTCTACCCCATACTCGCCCTGCATGGACTCTAAACCTTGTTTTCTCTCCCCCCCCCATCTGTCACAGTGTACCTCACCCCCATCCCTACAGTGCTGGGGCTCACACATGCTAGCTACCTACATGCCCAACCACCTACATCTTATGTCATGTGACTTTTCCTCCTTCTATAATTATTTGTAACTTCTAATAATTCTACAAAGAATAGGAACTAATTGCAAAAAAAAAAAAAAAAAAAACAACTCTCCCCAAACTGTTTACAACTGCATTAAGGGCCAGGCTTGGTGACACACACCTTTAACCCCAGCACTCAGGAGGCAGAGGCAGGTGGCTTACTATGAATTTGAGGCCAGCCTGGTCTACACAGCTTGTTCCAGGCTAACCTGGGCTACATACATAGTAAGAGCCTGCTGAGAGAGAAAGATGGGAGGTGTCTAGGGTATAGCTTAGCGGGAGGGCACCTGGTTAGTGTGAACAAGGGCTGGCTTTGATCTTGGCACTGGGGTAGAAAGGTGGGGGAGAAGGGTGGCTTCTGAGAAAAGTGGTGGAGGAATACACCAACCTGTGTCCCCACAAAGTGTAAATACAGTCTCTGGGTGGAATACACACAGCAGTTTTGTAAGAATGCTCCCAGACTAGACTGAGTCTCATTTGTTTTTTTCTTACATATTTCTTGGCTTCAACACAAAAGCAGTTTGAGATAAAGTATGAACCAACCAGGTGTGGATAGAAAGACTTTACAGGCTGTTTTCTAGCTCAGAAAGTTAGAAAACAGACTCTAAAGGTTCACAGGCAGTAGGGGGAAACTCCGGGGGAATTTGTTGTTGCTTGTTTGTCTGGGTGGTGGTAGTGGTGGTGGTGGTAGGTGTATCTATCTGTATGTGTGTGTGTTATATGAATGTATGTGTGTCTGTGTGTCTGTGTTTGTATGTGTGTCTGTGTTTGTATGTGTGTGCGTCTGTCTGTGTTTATATGTGTGTGTGTGTATGTCTGTGTTTATGTGTGTGTGTGTGTGGTCTTCCTCTATTGCTATCCATCTTACTTTTTTGAGACATGGCTGCTCACTGAGCCTAGAGCTCACTCACTCAGCAATACCGACTAGCCCCCAAGCCCTGCATATCTCAGTCTGCCTCCCAAGTGACAGGTTCACAGGGGCATGCTCATGTCTGGTTTTTTTATGTGAGCGCTGGGGATCGAAACTTAGCTTCTTGTGCTTATGCCACAGAAACTCTGCTGAACCATCTTCCAAGCTCATCTCATTCTGTTGTCAGTCTCACCCTGTAGCCCAGGCTAGACCGAAATTTGCCTCACTATGTACCTTCAAACTCAGGACAATCCTCCTGCTTCAGTCTCCAAGTGAGAGGATAAAAGGCATGAGCCGTCACACTGGACCTGGCTGGCCTCTGTTTCATTCTGTCCTCCCCCAACCCAGGCATTCTTGCCACAGACAAGATACAGATGAGCAGGCACCAATGTGCTAACAAAGGAATTCTCTTTGGCCAGAGGAGCTGCTCTAGATGCAGAAGCCATCACAGTACTGGCCTGGCAGGGTAGACAGAATAAAAACCTACTTTTCTAAGCAGAGGAACATGAACGTGAGCTCCAAGGAACGAGAAAGCATCAGGGAAGCCACAAGATCACAGCACAGCTGTGAAAGATGGTCTCACAGGCACACGCG